CGCGCTGGGCGCCGAGTTCGACGGCCTGGGGCTGCCCACGCCCGAGCGCTCGCCGCTGGACGGCCTGGAGCCCGGCGAGGCCGCCTTCTTCCCGCCACCCGCGGTGCCCGAGGACTGCGCGCTGCGAGCCTTCCGCGCGCCCTACGCCCCCTCCGAGTTGCCCCGGGACCCCGGCGGCTGCTACGGTGCGCCCTTGGCCGAGGCGCTCAGGACCGCGCCCGCTGCCGCCGCGCCGCTCTCCGGCCTCTACTACGGCGCCCTGGGCGCGCCCGGACCGGGCCCGTACCCCGGCCCGCTGTCGCCGCCGCCCGAGGCCCCCCCGCCCGAGGGCGCCGAGACGCTGGGGCCCGCCGCCGACCTGTGGGCCGACGTGGACCTCACCGAGTTCGACCAGTACCTCAACTGCAGCCGGACTCGGCCCGACGCCGCGGGGCTCCCGTACCACGTGGCGCTGGCCAAGCTGGGCCCGCGCGCCATGTCCTGCCCGGAGGAGAGCAGCCTGATAGCCGCGCTGTCCGACGCCAGCAGCGCGGTCTACTACAGCGCGTGCATCTCCGGCTAGGCGGCCCGCGGGGCCCGGGGCTCGCTCCCGCAGCTAGCGCGACGGGATTGCTGCGCACTCCTGCTCTGTTTCTCTCCCGCCGGCAGGCGTAGGTCTCCCTGCAAGGGCGGTTCCCACGTGTGCTGGGGCTTTTCCAGGAAGCCCAGGCCTAGGACCTGTTGGCTGGCCCTGCCAGGGTTAAGTTTTTGAAGCGTCTAATTCTTTTCTTGCAGTATATTTTCTAGAACCAGGCTGTATTTTTTACTTTGCCTTTTTTATATACGTAATACAACATATTTAATTTTTAAACTTTTTCTTCCAAGGGGTTTCAGTGACCAAAAGCACCAATGTAGCAAGGCTTTTTAAATATGAAGAATACCACTGTTTGTTTGCTTTAAAGGAGAAGCAGGAGCTGGGTCGCCCCTGGGCCAGGCGAGGCCACAATAAAGTGACTCGCTCCTTCCTCTGAACACCCGAGTCTGTGGTCGTTGGGGGAAGGGGGACCGGTACACCCAATGACCCTGGACATGCCCTTCCCCCAGAGAGCCCCCTCCTCCCCGCTTAGGCCCCAAAGCACCCACTTCTCCATCCTTCCAGGCTACTCAGCAGAGATGGTGGGAGGCATGAGGTGTGGGCACTCCCCACCCTGCCAGCCTTCCATTTCCCTCCTGTCCCAACCCCCATTGTAACTGAAGCCTAATAGGGATCAGCAATCCCCCCACACCCCCACCCATGTTTCGTCATCCTCATCTCCTTTTTAAAACTTTCTTCTAAATGAATAAATACATACATAAAATAAAAATAAATACATAACTAAAACCTCCTTCAAGCCCAGGGACTACGGCTCAGGTCTGTCCTCCTCTCCAAAGGAGGGTGGCAAAGGTTGACACCTCTAACAGACATGGCACCCTGGGGCCCCGTCTTGTCATTTTTAAACCAGAGTCCCCAGAAGGGGCAGCACCGTGACAGCCATGCTCTCCCCACAATGACCTGTCCAGGCTGTGCCCAGTGACAGAAGGTCAGTGACCTGAGCAGGGAGGCTCAGGACTCTCACGCTAGCCCTTCCCCACTTGCAGCAGTCCATATTCCTTGGTCCCCTGCCCCCCACTGGGGAGCTGATCTCTGACACCCCGATGTGGAAAAGGCTCTCACAGCTCAGTGTCCCGTGTTTGTGTGAGGCACGTGGTTCTGCAGGGACTGTCTGCTCCACGAGAGCAGGTGAGCCAGGGCATCCAGGCGTGTGTGTGCACGGGGGGCTCCGAGCGTGGGTGTGATGCTGTGCCCATGTGACCATGGGAGCACCCATGAGGGTGACCGTGTGACATTCCGTGTCTGCGTGCACACAGTTGTCCTGTGAGTCTGCAGCTGGATGTGCGTGTGTCCACCCAGTGGTGTGGGGGGGCGGTGAACAGGCTGTGGGGCTGTTTTTCCAGGTATCCTGCCTCTCAGAGGCAGTGACGCCACCTCTGTGTTGACTGGCAGGAGCTCCACACGGCAGTCGGCAGAGTGGGGTGGCGTACCTGCGCCCCCTGTCCCCGCCCCGTCAGCAGCCAGGTCCAGAAAACCCAAAGAGACATAAAAGAGCAGAAACAGACAAGCTGAAGAGGGCAGGAGATGAACTCTCCACTTGTGAGTGGGTGGGTGGAGGGACAGAAAGAGCCCACAGGACACCAAGGACACCGTCTGCTCCTTCCAAGTGTATGTAATAAGTATGGTGCACGGCAGGGACGCTGCAGCACAAAGGGAAAAGGGTGGTCCGCTCCAGCCACATCTGTCATGGGTTTGGGGGGTGGTGCTCGGAGGCCCCAGTGCCGGAGTCCTGGGCTCACGCATGGGGAGAAATGCGCATGACCCTTGAGTGTCCTTCACCAGCTCTCGAGGCCCAACTCCTGCTCTGCTCTGGGCCTGTCCCCTAGCCGGGGGACAGATGACCCACCCCCTAGAGCCCTGGGTCAGCGGGACCAAAGTGTGCCCCACTGTGGGGACCCATAGCAGCCTGAGTCCAGGAGCCTCTGACCCAGGTCCCTCACTCCACCCACCGGCCAGGGCAGGTAGGAGGCAGAGCCAGCCCAGCTTGTCCTGTTGCTTACAGCCTTGTGAACAGCCCCACTAGGGGCCTTCCTGCCTGGGCTGAGGCAGTGTCCATTGTCCCACCTGTTGTCCCACCGCAGAGACACCCATGGACACACAGGGAAAGGTGCCAGACAAGCAGACATGGCCAGCTGTGTCTCTCCTGTTTTCTGGCACAGTCTGGCGCAATAGTCTCCCATCCTCCTTTCTGGGCTCTTAACCCCACCCCCATCCCACCCAGAAGGTCCACCCTTCCAGGCCCCTTGGGGTCAGTAGGATGGGGAGCCACAAGGGTGCCTCCAGGGGACAGCACACACCATCGCCCCAGTAGGGAGAAGGCAGAGCAGCTTGATGCCTAGAAGCCCCTCCCACAATGGCAGGGCAGGAGGCCAGTGGGGGGCCCAATTTGGGGCAGTCCCCATCGCCAGGGGCTGGGGGAGTCCAGGAGCAGCATCAGAACATGAGAGGGCCTCCCACAGAGAGCAGCTGTTTCCAATAGCAGCTTCTCAGCAGTGGTGGGCCAGCACAGGAGGGTGGGTAGGGGTCTCCTCAAAGGACTCCTGCCCAGCGCCCTGCCTGGGGAGCTCTCCAAGGGACCTGGCTTTGTCCTGTCTGGGCAGAGCTGCTGTCCCGGGCAGAACCACAGCCCCGGGGCCTGGGAGGCTCCAGCCCTGGGTCAGGTTTCCCACTGCTCCCCCTCCTGGCTCCACCCACCTGCTTCCAGGAGGGTCAGAGAAGGGAAGTCCCCACCCCCAGCTCCCGCTGAGTCAGGCTGGCCAGGAACAGACCCTGGGGCCTAGTGCCTGGCAGGAAGTTCTAGCAGCCCGGCCTGGCACAGGCCACAGCTCCCACGCCCAGGACCCAGCCTGGACCTGGAAGGACCTGGGCCCAGGTGTCGAACCCTCCCCAGCAAACAGCCCAGAGGAGGAGGTCAGGGAGGCTGGGAGCAGGTTAGGTGCACCCTCTCCCCAGTAGACATGCTCATCCCCTGAGACCCACTTAGGAACACCACACACACCACCAGCCACACAGCCTACCAGGAGTTACGTCAGGGCCAAGGCTGTGCTCGTTTGCCCAATCCCAACAAGGCCATGCTGGGCAGGCAAGGATGGACTTAAATCACCCTCCTCTCAACTGGACAAGCACTCCAGACAATCCAACCACGTAGCCCACATTCTACAGAAACTACATAGGATTTTGGCAGAGAAGTCGGTGGTTTTAGTACACGGAGAGAATCGTGCAGGGCTGTGCAGCCTCCACGCCTCTCGTTCCAGTGTCCTCCCAATTCCTCAACAAGAAACCCTCACCTGTGAGCTGTGACTCCCCAGCCCCTCTTGACCCCAGCCCCCTTCCCTGTGGTTTGCCTATTCTGGACATTTCACAGAAATGAAATCATACAATACGTGAATTTTGAGTGTGGCTTTGTTCACCGAGAGTAATGTTTTCAAGGTTCATCCACGTTGTCGCGTCCTTCATTCCTTTGTAAGGCTGAATAATATTCCACTGTGTGACTAGACCACACCAAACGATGGGCGCTTAGATTGTTTCCCTGTTTTGAGATTGTGAATAATGCTGCAGTGAATGTTTGGGTACAAAGGTTTTGTGTGGACATGTGTTTTCATTAAAACTGCATACATTTATATTTCTAATGACAGAGTCTGAGCAGGTAGGTTAAGTACATTAGAACAGCTGCTCCCAGAAGGGGAGTCCAGAGCAGCTGACCTGCAAACCCAACAGCCAAGCCCAAGGCTCAATCCTCCACCCAGCCTACCCCACTCCTGCCCCAGGCGGGGGAGGGGTCCCATGCACCAGGCTCCAGTCCACGGAGGGTCTTTTTTTTTTTTAAGATTTTATTTATTTATTTGAGACAGAGAGAATGAGAGACAGAGAGCATGAGAGGGAGGAGGGTCAGAGGGAGAAGCAGACCCCCTGCCGAGCAGGGAGCACAATGCGGGACTCGATCCCGGGACTCCAGGATCATGACCTGAGCCGAAGGCAGTCACTTAACCAACTGAGCCACCCAGGCGCCCCTCCACGGAGGGTCTTGGCCAGGTGTGTGGGAATTCCTGGCCCAGGACTGGGGAGAGAGCGGTGGGAATGCCAAGGCTCTTCCTCATTGTGTCCGCAAGTCCACTGGGGCTCCCTCCCCACCTCTAGCCCTGCATGGAAGCCAGGCAGGATGCAACGGGCTGGCTCAGCACGGTGGGAGCTCCCTGCCCTCCACATGCCTCCTGCGACCCCACTCTGTCCCCCACGACCCCGTCCCCCACCCTCACTACCCAAACCTGTGCCCCAGGACCCCGCCCCGTATCCCACGCTCCTGCCAGCCTGCGCGCCCGCCCGAGAAAACAGGAAGGGGTGCGCGGCGGCGGCGCTGCGAGGAGGTGCAGGAAGTGGCCGCCGGTGTGGAGCTTATCTTGGGCCACAGCCGGGGACCCCTGGCCTCACGCCCCACACAGGCCCGGTGGACCGGAGGACAGGGCCTGCTCACCTGGCGAGGAGCCCCGGCCACCTCCCCCCAAGCGACAGTGGTCACAGGCAGGCTACGGAGGCGACTAGGCCCGTGACAGGCCTTCACGGAGCCAGGCTGTGCGGCTCACAGATGTGAGCAGAGGTCCCATCGAGACGCAGCTCAGGGGCGCCCGGCGGGCTCAGTGGGAAGAGCCTGCGACTCTTGATCTTGGGGTCGTGTGTTCAAGCCCCACGTTGTATGTAGAGATTACTAAAAAAAATAAACTTAAACAACAACAACAACAACAACAACCCACAGCCCAGAGATGACTCAGGGGCCAGTGTCCAATCCCAGGCTGGCCCACCTCCCCCACAATACACTCCCCTTCCCAGGTCCTGACCTTCCCATTTCCCCCAAAACAAGGACTCACTTCCCCCAGCAAGTGTGAATCCCTGCTGGTCCTTCAGGAGGAAGGCTGGGGAGGTGGGGGTTCACTGGGGTTGGGGGGATGATGGTTGTTGTTTGCTTCTGTGTTTACAAAGCTGGGTCTTTTCCTAGGGAGGGGACAGGATGGGGACTGTCCCTGGGAGCCCCCCAGGGTCCTACAGGCCACTGGCAGGGACAATGGGCTGCAGCACCTGGCATACACCCCCCACCCCCGAGTATTTGCTTTGTTTCCTGGTGTGGGGGACCTTGTTTGTTCCCACATCAGCCACAGATGGCGCAGGCCGCCTCCTTGCACACCTGCAGACCAGGGGACCCCACACGCAGATTCACATGCAAGGGCCAAGTGCCAGGCAAGGCCAGCACACCCTTCAGGTCTGGGTGCAGGTGCTTCCTCCCGGCCTGAGTGTGGCCCCATGCCTTCTCGGCACCCCGCGCCAGATGCGGGGCCTGGCTAACTCACATCCTGTCCCACAGCTAAGGCTCCATGAACATGGGAGCCGC